TATAATAAATACTGAAAATATACTAAAAATTTCAATAAATAGTGTAATCTTAAATAATAGTTTAATCTCTAATAAGCATTAATCTATAAATTATAAAAAATATATAATTACTAAAAATAAATTTATAAAAAAATACAATAAATACGATAAATTAAATTACGAAAGTTAAATAGTAGTTTTTTAATCTCCAAAAATTATTGATAAGTTGCTATTAAATAACAAAGTAAAAATACATTTAAAAATAATTATTGAAAGCAAATTTATTAAAAACAATAAATAACTACTGAAAATAAAATAAATGTTAGTTATAGTAAATAAAAATATATAATGAATATACACTATTAGTGTAAAATTATTACTAGTAAATATAATTTTGTTGAAAGTTATTTTCTATAATTATTAATTGATATAAGTTAAATTAGTTATTTACAATATTATTTACTTAGTTAAATAATATTGTTATTTAAGTTCTTAAAATATTAATTATTTATTGAATTTAACAATCCATAAAATTATAATTATACTATTATTACATAATTTGTTATTAATTTTGTAAAATATTAAATTATTATTAATATGAAGATTGTGAATTCTATTATAATTATTTTTCTACTTTTAAGAATTTTTTTAATTTATTACATAATTTCGTTATTTTAACTATTTAAAATTTCTTCATGTTAAATATTGTCATTTAAATGTTTAAATAACATGTAAAATATTTAAAACTTTTCATAATTTGAATTTTAACTATTTTAATGTTATTACATAATATTAAATATTTTGTTATATTATTTAGCTATTTTTAATGTTTTTTTTAATTTTCAGTTATTGAAATATTTAAATAATGTTTTATTTTTTTAATGTTAAATTCTTATTATTTGAATAACATTTAAATTGAATAATTCATAAAATTATTATTTATATTGTTACTACATAATTTCATGATGAATTTTGTAAAAATGTTGAATTATTAATAATATGAATATTATTAAATCTATTAATTTTTTGTGTTTTGAATAAATATTTTAAATTTAGTATAGAATTTCCTTATAACATTTAAATGGTTCTGATTTTTTTTAATTGAAACTTTGTTTAGATAGATATATATAAAAAGTGGGGGAGAGGATAAATAGGAATTAGAGATAGTTTAGGAGAGAATCTCTCTACTAAATTAGAGATAATTTAAGAGATAAATAGGAGTTAGAGATAATTTAGGAGATAAATTGGAATTAGAGACAATTTGGGAGGAAGTGGGGGAAAGTGGTGCCACTTGGCTAAACATTAGAAAATTTTTATGGTTGCTAGAAATAGTTAGTTATATGTGATTTCCTTATTGGTTTAATGGATAATTATGTGGAATTAAAAAAATAAAAAATTCAAAAAAACAGAAAATTAGGAAGGGGGTTTCCTTCAAGGAGAGCTATGCTGACATGGCAGGTATATATATTTCTGCTCTTTCCTTGTGCATGTTCCTACCAGATATTCCAAAGTTGTAACTAATCCAAAGTGGAGAGAAGCAAAGAATGAAGAGATGAAAGCCTTGCTGAAGGCTCAGACTTGGGAGATAGTGGATCTACCTAAGAGAAAGAGTAATATCGGGTGCAAATGGGTGTTTACAATGAAAGATAAGGCAAGATTGGTGGCCAAAGGGTTTATAGAAAAGGAGGGGATTGATTACAAGAAATATTTTGCTCCATAGCTAAACTGAATACTATTTGTGTGTTCTTGTCCTTAGCAGCAAATTATTCTTAGGGGTTTCATCAATGACATGTAAAGAATGCATTCTTAAATAGAGATTTATAGGAAAAAGTATTCATGAGTCTTCCACCTGGTTACGACTTCCAAGGAAAAGTATGCAAGATGGAGAAGGCTTTGTATGGATTGAAACAATCTTCTCATGATTGGTTTAAAAGAATGTGCAAGGCCATGAAAGGTATGGGGTACTCCCAAAGAAGTGCTGATCATACACTATTCATCAGGAGACGGTGATAATCTCACAGTTCTTATTGTATATGTGGATGATATGGTGGTGACTAGGAATGATGAAGCAGAAATAAGGAGGTTGAAGAAGTTTCTAGCATCAGAGCTTGAAATCAAGGATTTGGGACCACTAAAATGATTTCTTTGGATTGAAGTGGCTAGATCAAGTGAAAGTATGCTATGAACTTGTTAGAGGAGACTGGAATGATGGGGAGCAGAGTAGTTGAAACTCCCATAGAACAAAACCATGGCATATAGGAAGTTGTAGGTAAGACCTACCCTGACAAGGAAAGATATCAGCCATTGGTGGGAAAGTTAATATACCTATCCCTTGCTCGACCAAACATTGTTTATGTGTCTATCTTGTTAGTCAGTTTATGCATGCTTCTAAGATCTCTCATATGAAATCAACTGAACAGATCCTTAGATACTTGAGACTTGTCTCGGAAAGGGTTTATTATTCAGCAWGCATGATAAATTTGAAATTGGAGGCTTTATTGATGTTGATTGGGCAGGTTCCATGGGGGACAGGAAGTCGACTTAAAGGTACCATACATTTGTTGGGGGTAACCTTTTCACATGGAGGATAAAGAAGTAGAGCATAGTTGTGAGATCAAGTACACAGACTGAGTATAGAGCTATGGCTCATGGTGTCTCTCAGACTATATTGTGATAACAAGGCTGCCGTCAACATTGCCACAACCTAGTGCAAGTGTGCAACATGACAAGACTAGACATATAGAGGTTGACAAACACTTCTTGCGAGAGAGAATTGTGTTAGGAGAACTGTGCATTCGCTTTACACCTTCAAAGCTACAACTAGCTGATGTTCTCACCAAAGGACTTGCATCTACAGCACCTGTAAGGAGTGATCTGTTGCAAGTTGAAGGGGCTAGAAGGTCTAGGGGTAGAGGTAGACCCAGAAAGGGCATGGGTTGAAGTACTAAATAATGATGTAAGCGCTCAAAATTTAACAATAGATATGGCACTAAACAGAACAAAATGGCAAAACTGAACTCATGTGGCCATCCCCATATACATGGGATAGTGCTTAGATGACAACGATAATGATGATCTATGTTGACCATATATCTTTCCTACTTTGGATGGTTGTCATTATTTTGTCTTATCTGTGGATGACTATTCTCACTATACATGGCAATACTTGAGGCCTCCATGGATAAAATTCCACAAATTGTTCAATAATTTCTTTGTATGGTGGATACTCAATTTGAAAAGAACATCAAAGTATTTAGATAAAAAATGCAAAGACTGCTTTCAGAAAAACATGTCACCATTTTCACTCAACAATATGCTTTGCATCAGAACTCATGTACTTGTACACCTAAACAAAATATACTAGTAGAAAGGAAGAAATGTCATGTTCTTGAAGTTATTCATGAATTGAAGTTTAGCAACAACATACCTCTTTATTTTTGAGGGGCCATTACATGGCGTAATGGTAAAATCCAATGTTCAGAGAACCGGACCGGGCATTACATGGTGTAATGGTAAAATCCAATGTTCACGGGTTAGAGGTTCAACTGGGGTTGAACCGGAGGTCAAACCGTGATGACATGGCATATACATTTATATACTAGGTATCATATAAATACTATAATATAATATATTTTAGAACTTTTAGTATACTTAAATATGGTGGATGAATAGCAAGTTCCTTAATTTTTAAAGCAAATGACTAGGGTTCAAGTCTCTTTATTTAGATTTTCTTTAAAATGTGTGCATAATAAAGTAATATGTAGAATAAAAATCATTAATTAACACAATTAAAGAGGTGGACTAATGGTAATTAAGCAATATATGAAAATAAGAGGTCATGGGTTCAAGTCTTGTTAAACACATTTTAAAATTTCAATTATTTAAGGACTCGAGAGGTTTTTTGAAACCAGGACCACTTCACTGACTTTCTGATTAAACCATCCAATCAACTAGTTTTCACTATGTTTTTAGTAAATACAGTTATTGGGGTATAACCAAACCAGCCAATGTCCCTGGTCATGGTTCAACTGGTCCGACCGGCTGGTCCGGTCCGTTTACATAAACACTAGTAAAATCTCAGGCTGACAAGTGTGAGAACACAAGTTCAAATCTGTGAGTGGCCAATTTATGCAGAAAAGAATGCCTAAGGTTAGGACCGTATCCAGTCTACCCTTCCCAAGACCCTAGATAACTGAGACCAATATTGGGTAATGGCTTTTAAAAATGTCTTCTTGAGTACCATTCCAATCTACTAATGAATTGAAGGTTCCTAGTCAATCTCCTTTGCACCTTCCTTTAAAGGTCTTTACACCTTCCTTTACTAGGGGCACAAGTGTTCACACATGTATTGACATGTGTCAGATAATTAATATTTATCTATATGTTAAAACATAAAATTCTTATATCTTATATAAAATAATCATCCCTAGGCACAACTTGGGTTCGAATGAGTAAGCATTTTACATTGTTTCAGGTTCAGGCTTCGGCCCAGGCCCAGGCCCATTGAAATTTTGACAAAACCCCAACCGGAGCCTGCCCAAGTTGCATCCCTACAGCTTACTAAATGGCATTGCACAGTCAGAACTGGGAAAACTATGATGACCAATAGGATGCAATCTTAGTAGGAACGTTGCAGCAAAATTATCCAGCAGAAGTTAAAGGAACAAACATAATGATATTGCATGACATTTAAGACAAAATCAAACACACAACCATGTAGTATTTTTACGAATTAGAATCCCAACATATGACCACTTGGATTGAATCATAGAAACTACTTTACAGTAGTAATTTCCAGACGCAGTCAGGAGCATATGCAATAATATCAGAGGACATTGAAAGCATAAAGTCAAAAACACAACAATGTAATATCCTCACAAAATTGCAATCCCAAACATAAGCATTCCAATTTGAAAGCAATTGAACATATTTGTGACTGCACAAGAAAGTAGAAGATAAGACCTAACCATATTGAAAAAGATTTGTTAATCCAAATGCTTAAATTTTGGGGAAGCCCTTACCCTTATAGAAGAAATTTATAGCATTCACTCTATCTTTGAGAGATAAATAACATTGAGCAATTTTTAAATATAAGTTTCCCTGCATAAGTTTGCAATGCAGAAAGGCATTCAGAAAACTAGAAGAACGAACAAACCCAGCAAAAACTATATCAAAGTTCAAATGCCTAAGTGATAAGAGGATCACAAAGGACAAAATAAATGCTACTGTCAATGCAACAATGAATAGGAACTTCATGCAAAAAATGTGCAAAAATATGTGATAATTCTATTTTCTTTTTTTGTGTGTTTTATGATTAGGAGTTTGTTTTATATTTCTATGTATAAGGTACTCTTCAGTAGATTTCATTTTCTTTTTTTTTTTGTCTCATAATTGGGAGGTTTGATGGGTCTTTTGTTGCTGTCATATGGAATACAAAACCAGGAGCATACCAGTCTTTTTGTTTCTATTTTCTTTTTTTGAAAAGTAAAGATAAATTTCATGAAAAAGGAGAAAGAAAGTAAAAAGAAGGAAGATGATAAGGCATCACCTGAGAGAAGAAAACCCTCAAAACGCCAACATTCACCTAAACCGTAGCCACATTTCTGGCCCCTAACACAAAAACATGAACACCACTCCCAATCACCTAAACCCCCCTGACAAAAGAGACCCACAAATCCCCTTACTCGGCCCAACTTTAAAGCTTACTCCTCCACATCCTCCAGCTCGTCATTACAGCAGCTTTTTTTTTTTGGAAAAAGCTAATGTAAATTTATTCAAACCAACACATACAAGCTGTGTTCACACCCAAAAAGGCAGCCTAACAGCCACAATCTCCACCACGAGTTAGAACGAGATAAAACAGACAAATTCAGACTTCTGAACTCCTCAGTAACTGACACCCAAGAGATTAACTTGCCCACTGCTTTCTGAATTAATCTTCAGGACTCTTAGCTCTATTACAGAAAATCCTACTGTTCCTCTCAGCCCAAATGGACCACAAGACAGCAGCATTAGTAGTCCTCCACACCATTTTCCCTTTCTTGCTTAGGCCTTTGCCATTCCAGAAGCAGAGGAGCTCCTTAACTGATCTTGGCATAGCCCAACTGATATTCATGGATTTGAGAAAGTTGTTCCCACACCTGAGAGGAAAATGGACAGTGAATACACAAATGGTCTGTTGATTCAGGAAGGCACCCACAAAGACCACAAGATAAATCAAAGATTTGAATGCCCCACCTCACAAGATTAGATCTGGAAAGACATTTGTCAAGGGCCATCGTCCAAATCAGAAAGTTGGATTTTGATGGACTTATAGGGTTCCATAGCTGTGTAGCTGGGAAATCAGTGAGACCCAATCTGCAAAGCTTAGAGGCCAGGGATTTGACAGAAAATTCCCCATCCGGATTCCACTTCCAGCACCATTTATCTTCCGAGAGCAGGTCTATCTTCTGCTTCTGAAGAAGAGTCAACATCTCCATAATCTCTTCAAACTCCCAATCAAAAAGGTTCCTTCTAAAGAGTGGGGTCCAAGTAACAGAATCTCCAGCCGAACAAAAGCACTCAGCCACAGATGCTTCTTGCTTAGAAGCACACTGGAAAAGAAGGGGAAAAGACTCAGCTAGGGAGCCATCCAAGCACCAAGAGTCCTTCCAAAATTTAGTTCTATCCCCTTTATCAATCATGACTGAAATCCCTTCCAATATGACAGAGAAATTCTTCATGATACCTTTCCATAGAGAATTGCCCCAATTTGGAGGAGGATCCCTAGATCTCCAGTTACCCCACTCCACCCCATATTTACCAGCTATGAGGGATCTCCACCAAGCATTACTTTCAGCCGAGAACCTCCAGATCCACTTACAAAGGAGGGCAGAATTAACTCTTCAACTTCCTTATACATAAACCACCTTCAGCCTTAGGAAGACATACTTGATCCCAATTGACTAGGTGAACTCTTTGCTCCTCTTCCCAACCTCTCCAAAGAAAACTTCTTTGAAGCTGCTCCAGTCTTCTTGCTACTTTATTTGGGATAGGGAAAGAGAGAGGAAATAAGTAGGTAAATTGGAGAGGGTACTTTTTATTAGAGTAACCCTACCCCCAAAAGATAGATATCTTGCCTTCCATGATACTAATTTCCTCTCCATTCTTTCAATAACCGGATCCCAAATCAAGGAAGCTAAACAATTTGCCCCCAGGGGCAAACCCAAATATTTCACTAGGAGGGATTCAATCTGACAAGCCAGCACCTCCGCACAGTCAACTATGTTGGTTACTTGACCCACTGGAATGATTTGATTTTTGTTGCAATTGACTTTGAGCCCAGAGACCACCTCAAACCAGATTAAAATCCCAAGGACAAAATCTAGCTGGGAAGGAGAAGCATCCACAAAACACAAAGTATCATCTGCAAATTGGAGAATATTGACCTTTTCCCCCTCAGGAGCAATTGCAAAACCTTCCCACTCACCAGAATCAGCTGCCTTTTTACAGAATAGAGTAAGTATTTTCATAACACAAATAAAGAGAAAGGGGCACAGGGGGTCATCCTGTCTTAGACCCCTAGAACTAGTAAAAAACCCTACTGACTGACCATTAATCAAAACTTAAAACTTGGGAGAGGTTATACACACTTTAATCTAGTTTCTCCATTTCTGCCCAAATTTCATTTGACGCAACACAAAATCAACACACCTCCAGTTAACATGGTCATAAGCCTTCTCAATATCAAGTTTGCAAATCAAACCTGGGACACCCTCTCTTCTTCTTGAGTGAATCAGCTCATTAGCAATAAGAATAGAGTCAAGCATCTGCCTCCCCGGGACAAAAGCACTTTGATTGTTTGAGATAACACTTCCTAACACACCTTTCATTCTCTCAGCAAGAACTTTAGCTAGGATCTTATAAAAACTGTGTAGAAGGCTGATTGGTCTGAAATCTTTAATTTTCACTACCCCTTCAATTTTTGGAATGAGGGTAATAAAAGTAGTGTTTAAACTTCTTTGAAGCGAAGCATTATCATAAAATGCCTGAAAGACATAAAATGCCTGAAAGACATTCAGAATGTCTTGCTTCACAAAGTCCCAGCATTTAATATAAAAGAGGTTGGTAAGACCATCCGGCCCTGGCGATTTATCATCCGCCAACATGGTAATAGCAGCTTCAATTTCCTCCTCCATAAAAGGTCTCTCAATAAAAGAAATCTGGTCTTCACTCAACTGCTTGAAGGGAAGGTTTCTAGGAAAGGGTCTGAAGGTCCAAAACTCTTCATAAAGATTTTTATAAAAGTTAGTTGCCACTACCTTCTTCATTTCGGCATCAGATTTCCCCACTCTTTCCTCCCACTCCAACTTACTGATTGAAGAAGCTCTTGCTCTAGCATTTGCCATTCTATGAAAGAAATAAGTGTTTTTATCCCCCTCTTTTAACTAAACCACTTAGCCCTCAGACTCCACTTGATTTCTTCTGTCACAGCCAACTTATCATAATTAACCTATGCCTGGGATCTCTTTAATCTGCTTTACTCTGATAAAGGACCAATCTCTTCTGCTGAATCAATTTCCTTAATGATACTCAATAAAGCTCTCTTTTCAGTTTCTGAATTCAAATTTTTCTCCATTTTCCAGATTTTTAGTCTCTCTTTAATGGCACTAAGTTTTTTTTCCAAGATGAAAGAGCTAGTACCAACCACCTACAAGTCTTTCCACACAGTCTTCAACAAGGGAATAAGATTAGCATCTTCAAACCAGGCATTCTCAAATTTAAAGGGGTCTCTGATTTTTCCTCTAAAGCCACAGACCAACTGGATTGGAGTATGGTCTGAAACTGGCCTAGGGAGGGCAATTTGCTTAAAATCAGGGAAAAGCTCTTCCCAATTATAGGAAACCAAGAACCAGTCCAATCTCACTAGGGTGGGGTTGTCTTGATTATTGGTCCAAGTAAAACGACTACCTTGAAGAGGGAAGTTCATCAACTCAAATCTGTTAATAAAATCAGCGAACTGAAGCATCGCTCTTGACAAAGTAACATTAAAGTCACCTCCAATAACCCATGGGTAAGACAAATTTCCCCTTGCCTCAACCAATTCTTCCCAAAAATTCTCCCGGAGATTTCTGTCTGTAGGGCCATAAATATTTGTGATTTGACAGATATTACCATCAGTAAACTTCAGAACTAAGGAAACTGAAAAGTTTCCAATGTGAGAAGAGATTAAACTGCAGACAGAAGGATCCCAAAGGCTCAACAAACCCCCCGCACTCCCCATTGCCAATTTTGCCTTCCATCTGACCTCTCCCTCCCCCCAGATGCTTCTAACAGTTGCAGCATCCACACTTTCCAGTTTAGTTTCTTGAAGCAGGATAACCTTCGAACTCGACTTCTTCAGAGATGCACACACCACTAATCTTCTTCTTCCCAAACCCAAACCTCTTACGTTCCAAGATAAGATTTTTAACTCCATTAAAAACAGAAAGAACAGAGCAAAACAACTTCAAGCTTAAATTTTTCTCCTCCGCCCCCCCCCTCGACATCCCCTCACTGCTACCTGCCTTATCATTTAAACCCCACGTCAGCCTCATCATCTCTCTACTCCTCTTAGAGTTTGTTCCACCTTTCTTTGCCACTAATTTCCCTCTCTCCAGAAGAATTCTTTGTTCAACTTCCTCCAAAAATTTAATTGTTTCATCCTCCATTGTGATTCCCAAGTAATTACCCAATCCCAAGAGTTTCGAGGAAACCCAAGAAGAAGAAGCAGAAATATTAGACTGCTTACCTCCCAAATGACGAATTAGATGTCTTTCCTTTGTTATTACTCAGCTGAGCCATGCTTCCAATTGCCTCTCTCAATTCAATTCCTCTTCCCCCCCCCCCCTCCTGTGATCTAAGCTGATGAGGTTCCTCCCCCCTATCTTCAAACTGAAAATTTGAGTCCACCATGGCAACGGGGTCAGCATCAACCAAATTTTCTTCCACCCTCGCCAACACTAGGTGATGGACATCCATCCTGGTATCCTCCATGAAAGGTGAAGCTGATGGACACTGAGGGCTAGGGGGTTGAGGATGAACAATCTGAACGCTGGCACTACCCTTCGAAACCATCAGCG